GTCCCCCTCCTCTCTCAGGGAAAACACCCCATGTGCCCTTGATGGTTCCTTCACCAGCTTCTTCCACCTGCTCCATCCCCTTGTTCTTTTTCCTTTGTCTGAGTTTTGATCATCAACTGCATTAGGAACAAAGGCGAGGGAAAGAAATATTGATGGTGTTCCTTCTGCAGGCATGGCTCTGGAGGGAACTTATTCCCAGTATTTCATTCTTCCCACTTCACAGGTTAGTCACCTAAGGCTCAGGAACGGTGAGTAGACTCCCCATGTGCAAGTCTCCATGGGTCACATCTGATGAGCAGTGTAATTGGCCAGGAGGGCCAGTGAGAAACCGGGCTTTGAACAAACTGTAAGAATTGCAGATATGAATAAACTCACTGGTCACGAAACGTTTGAATTGTACCTTTTAAATCATAGAACACGAGAGCAAACCTTTCCTACCATATTCTTACCTGTGACCACTCATGTTTCATGAACATTGGAGTGCTCATTTATTTAGGATATATTGCCATAGCAAGTTTATTCTGAACATCCAGTCACTGTGAAGTGAGTGCCCTACAGCCTTGCTGGCAGCCTAGACTCAGGGTACAGAACCTGGGTTCTCACTCACCTTGGTGTCCTCACGGTGGCTTCAGTGGTTGTCTGTGAAGGTGGCTTCACTGAGTGAGCCCTGTGTAAAGACACATCTGCAGTGTCCCTCCTGTGTCTGGGCTGTGCTTCAACTGGCATTCAAGTAAGCCTTTGTTTTCCAACACCAGAGGCAGGTGTTTTCCTGGGGACCCGGGAGGCAAGCTCTGGGAGAACACACTAGGGGACAATTAACTGTAGCTGTTGGGTTCCAGGCCAATATTCTCCGCAAATTAGATGTTGAGTGGAGCTTGGGCAATTGGAGCCTCCAACTGTCAGAGCCCAGCAACCTTTCTCTGAAGACCCTCCATACAGAATGCCTTCCCCAGCGTTTGCCTTCTCTGTGCCACCATTGCAATTCAGACATTCCTGTGTGGAAGGTTCCCCTGTCCAACCAGTTCAATTGTCCCTAGTCTGTCTTAATTTTGTACTCTACTAATTATATCTCACGCTGAACTTACATAGAGTCATGTGGGTGTCTCCCTAAAGCATTTGTGTCTCCTTCCATGTGCCTTGTACTTTT